TATTGGCGTGTAAAAGGATATGATCCTATTATACAACTCAGCTTTTAACAACCTTGCATGTAACTATTCACATAAAGTGATATTCAAAATCATAAGGTGGTGGTCTTATTTGAAAGTGCACTGATAACCATGGTGAAAATCAATGCATAATCCAGATAAAATACTCCACTTAAAAATCTTATGTGCATGCATCAACTTGTGATCGGGTTAATCCCATCACTGTTTTTGTTTACCTTTCCCTTTAGCTTCGCGGACTCAACAAGGTACCTTGATTTGAGGTGTTTGTTCTCTAAACCATAACCTCCGCAGATCCCCATTTTTATCACTTACTATAGTGCAAGCAAGTACCCCAAACAATTCAATTTTTTTATTTTTTTAAAATGATATTTAAATAAATCAGAAGGAAGTTTTTTACCTCCTCCTCGATCTTTAGAGGTCTCAGTCTCACCTGTCGACACCTCCTGTAGAAGAAAACAGAATATTTGGAATATATTTTCATATATACTAGTTTTGGTAGTTTCCTTGTATTAGTAGTTTACTTGTATAGGGATTCCCTTTCCTTGTTTAGTTAGGATTCCCATCTGGTCTGTCAAGGTGTCTGTCTAGACGTTCATTCCTAGCGGCCCGTTAGTGTTTAGCCCATTTGTCCGTATGGAGTATGTACCCAATGGCATGTGACCCGTTTAACACGATTGCTCGTCTGGAAGTCCATACCCAGCAGCTCGTGGTCCTTTAGGTGTTGGCGCTAAAAAAAATCAATGGGATGGGAGTCCATTTGCAAGTGGTCAACCGGTTAGATTCAAAATGGCCCGGTTGTCCACTTGAGGTGGAGTGTTAAAGAGTATCCCACATCGGAACTTGAAAAGAAAATAAACCGGTATATAAACCATTGAGTTGAACTAGCTAGTTGACACCAACCCTAGGGAACAAAAATGAATTAGGAACAAAAAGTATGAATTCCAGAACAACATAAAATGAAAAAGAGGCAAGCATAAATAACAACATATTTGATGATAGGGATACATTTATTCCTTACCAAGAGGAGAAATGAAAATCTAATGGAAGAAATCTAATTTGAACAGATTCATCA